ATGTACAGGTTCCTCATGAGCACACTGAAATGATCTGGAATACCCATTCTTCACAATATTATCCATAGTTTGTTATGACTCACAAAGTTGAATGCCTTTGCATAGCAAAAAAAGCACAACTAAACATCTTTCTGGTATTCTCTGCTTTCAGTCAAAATCCATCTGATGTCAGCAATGATATCACTCATTCTGTATCCTCTTCTGAATCCATGTTGATTTTCTGAAAGTTCCATGTCGATGTACTGCTGCAACAACTTTTGAATTATCTTCAACAAAATTTCATTTGTGTGTGATATTAATGATAGTGTTTGACAGTTTCCACATTCTGTTGGGTCACCTCTCTTAGGAATGGGCACAAATACAGATCTCTTCCAATCAGTTGGACAGGTAGTTGTCTTAGAAACTTCTTGACATAGACAAGTGAGCACCTTCAAAAGAGCATCAGTTTGTTGAAACTTTTCAGTTTGTATTCCATCAATTTCTGGAGCCTTGTTTTTTACCAGTGGCCTCAATGTAGCTTGGACTTCCTTCAATACCATCAGTTCTTGATCATTGGGTTGAACACCGACCAATGCTTTTTGACACAATGACTATGAATTCCCTCCAACTGCTTTTGATGCATCCTTTGATAAAATCCGTCAATATTGCAAATTGAAGATTGGATTTTTTCTTCAGTCCTTTCAGCTTGGGAAATGCTAAGCATTTGCACATTTCTTTATAATACTTTATTTTGTGCCTCACTTGTTGTTGCTGTTTTTAAGTGTCATCGAGTCAGTTCTGACTCATAGAATCCCACACAGGGCTTCCAAGAAGGAGCTAGTGGAATCCTTTTGATTAGCAGGCTAATGCTTATCCTACAGCACCACACTAGGACTCTTAGGATACAAATAATTAATTTACATTATTAACCAACATCAATCACTATGTGTCTGACTCTGCTCAGTCCTATCCCTTAGAGATTCATTGATACTCAGAACCACTCTGTGAAATGAACATTAAAAATATATATATTTATTGTGGTAAAATACATAACTTTTTGTATTTGTATAAAATAAAATTTACCATTTTAAAGTGAGCAATCCAGCGGCATTAGTTCATTCACAATGTAGTGCAAACACCACGTGTATCTAGCTGCACTTTTTCAATAAGAAGTCCCATATCCATTAACAGTTTCCCACCTCCCCAGTTCTTGGCAACTACTGTTCTACTCTCTGTCTCTATGGATTTATCAATTCTGGACATTTCATATAAACAGAATCATACAATATATGGTCCTTTGGTATCTGGCTTCTTTTATTCAGCACAATAGTTTTTTTCCTTGTTTGTTTGCTTTTCAAAGCTTTTGTTGTGAATTGAGTGATAGTTTATATGGGAGAACGTTGATTTTGCTCTCAACCTACTGTATTTTGTTTCATTGCAATGATTATAACCTCTTCCATGCATCATCGGTTAAATTTGCTTCAATTTCCTCTGTTTTTTTTTTTTT